TTTTGACGTATCATTAAGAAAAATCGGTCCATTGAGACATTGAGAAAAAGTAATGACAGACAAAAAAATAAATAAATAAATAAACACAACATGGTAAAATGAATACCTTCTCAACTTCGTATTGAAGCTAAAACATTAGTTATTTTCAATGATATAGTGTTAAAAAAAATCAATTATACAAAATCTAAATATATATATTTAATTTTCATATATTTGTAAAATTTGAATATTTTTCTTATTTAATGAATATTCATTGTTTGAAACTAAATTCTGTAACTTTAATTTATATTTTAACAATGAACAAATACTATTTACCAAAAAAAAAGTAGTATTAACAAATTCTTTGAGCATGTATTATTCATTTATTGTTTTAAACATGAGAAGAAAAAGTAGTCTTATATTTATAGCATTAGACTACAATTGTTTATTTAATAAATTAATTTAATTCAATTTTTTATATTTAAATACACATCTTGATATTTACTAAGTTGATATTAGACATTATCATATCATTTTTCAATAGTTTCTTTATTTTGTTCAACACGATCTATACATCATGTACAATAAGTTTTGTTTTCGTATATTATTATAAATTTAATAAATAAGCATTTCGCGATTATACTATTTTACAATCACATACTACTTCGCTTTATTTTTCAAATTAACAGCATATACCAGCGGCATTATTTTTTAACAATGTTAGTCCAATACAGCTCGCCTATTTGTTTAATATTTCATATAACGCGTACTGGCGACCAGACTTCCAGTGCAAGTTGGCCAAGTACAGCCCGTTATCAAAATTAATTTGTAATCAATGTCTAAATATTAAAAATTAAAATTCTTACATAACACACAAGACAGTTGCTAATTAATTTAAAAATAATCAATTGTAGTAATGCTTCAATTTAAAGTATATAATAATCTAAATCTAAATGTATAATATTTCAGATATCATTCACTCATTTAATTAAAAAATATCAATAAACAAATAAATAATGGTCTCAAAAAGAATATATGTAACATGAATGAATATAGCTTTAAAATACTTCTTTTAATATAAAGTAAGTTATTTGAACTACTATATAAATTAAATGTTCAGTATTTAATATCAATACACTTTTTTTACACATGTTTTTATTATAAAATATGAAACAAAATAATAATATTAATAATATTTGTATAAGGACAAGGAAAGTATAATCTTGCCTTATGTAAGACCGGACTAAAACAAGTCCAAAAAGGATCGGACCAAAAAAAATAAAATTAATCGAGTTGGACGGACTTATAAAATTATTTGTTCAATCGATACAAAGGTATAAGATCTTTAAAANGATTGGACTTATAAAATTATTTGTTCAATCGATACAAAGGTATAAGATCTTTAAAATAAGAGGAAGGTGTATACGTATTATACGTAAATATTATCTTGTTCGTTATTAAGTTAAACTAATTAACTAATGTTAATATATATACATATATTGTCACTATATATTAAGATGGTCTTTATCTATAGATAATCTAAAAAAATATTAAAATTTTTGTTCCTGACCCAATGTTAATTATGTTACCATAAAGAAAATTCAGTTAAAATTACTTGACCCTTTCCCGTGCACATGAGGGTTAAATATAATTTCAAAAAAGTATGGTTTTTTTATTTTATTCGAAAAATATAAAACTTTTGCAAAAATTTATAGAATCATTATTGTAGGAAAAATTATTTTCATAAAAAGTACACTTACAAAAATGTTCACAAATCTAATATTTTCTAAAATAAATAGTAAAAGAATTTCTTTCCATTATATGAACAAATTAATTAGTATCAATTACTTAAATAAAACCTACTTAGAATTTCGATAACGAAAAAATATTTTGATGTTAATCAGATACAATTTTTACTTCAAGTAAATTACACAACCTTTATTAATAAACAATTATTTAATATTGACTTACCTATATAAAATTAATAAAAAATTGAAGAATTTTTAGTCCAATTTCAGAAGGCATCTACTAAAATTGAAGGGTAAAAATATTCAAAAATGTATTAGAGTTGACAAATTATAATACTGCGAACAATATAATGAATAAAAGAAAAGAAAATTATTTATAAATTCAGATTCCCAGGAGTTTCCAGATAAAATAAGCATAAATAATTTATAGTTAATTAATTATAAAACACAAAAAAATGGTTATTGTTCATAATAGTAATTAATAAATTCTTTTAATGCTTTAATTGATATATAATAAATAGAAAATATTGTGACATTTATACATATTTTACTGACGAAAAAAGTTAAAAAACTGCATTACTCACGGGTGAATCCACAATTTTTTGAAGACTAGATGGGTGTAAAAAGATTTTTAACGTCCAAATCTTATTTTATTGTTTAAAATAAATTTTTTAATAGACAAAGGAAAGACTCGCCACCCTTACACTCTTTTCTTGAACCGATAATGTCATTAATTAAAAAATTCGTAATAACCTAAATAAAAGAAAAACTATAAAGAAAATAGCTTTAATCTCAATCAATTGCGATTTGAAAATAATCGATTAGCATCTAATTAACAATTATCTTCTCAAATTCTTACTTAAAAAAAAATATTGTACCAAAATTAAATTAAATTTAATTTAAATACTATTAAATTATTAATAGTAACAACTTCTAAGATATTAAAGTTTTTACAAAAATTTAGATTCATTAAAAATTAGATTTACGAAAAAATAAATCTTATAAAATATAGTTTATAAATAAAAATTACTCATAAACGCAATTGAATATGAAAAAAATGATAAAATGTAAATTCATACATATTACACTAACCTCGCTTTGATTGACTGAACACACAAATCGGAGATTTCAAGTTTAACTAAACCAAAATAAATGTTCATAAAATTAATCTATTTTGTCACAAATTTAACTAACATAAATCAACGAACATTTAATAAATGGACCATTATTGAATTGCCTAGTATTACTAAGAACTCATTTCTGTAATCATTAACTAATAGGAAGAGAGAATTTTACAAATTGGCCGTTTTAATGTACGTTGGGCGAGAGCAGATCGGTGGATATATGCACCTATTGAAAACATTTAAAAGTAGGGGAATGTAAAATAGTTCCACATAATCTCGATTCGTAGTAATACTGTTCATTATTAATGTTCATATTTGTATAGACGGGTCGTTTTCATACGTTTGGTTAAAAGCAAATCTATAAATACAGTGCGACTATGGTATTCCCGCAGACTATGTGGCGTGTCACCAAAAATTATTTCAAGTGGTTCTCAAAACAATCATTTTACTAACTATATTACATATTTACAATAAAATTCTGAAAACACGTCTTGTAGGTCTGTTTTCTATATGCTTCAAATAAGTGTGTTCCTATTCAAGATATACGCAAATTTCCGATTTTTTATTTGTTATACCGCAATCAATACACATGGGAATATGTGACAGCATTGAAAAAATAAGACTACTTAATTAGAGTATGAATAACATTAGAAAATATTCCTCTATAATAACTAAACTGTAATAAAATATAATAGCTAAACAGTTGATCGGAAAAAAAATATAGTAATTAATTTATACTAATTATAATTTATAATTTGTTTATACTAATTTTTTCTATAATATTATCGAGCTCCAAATTGAGGCTCCCATAAAGAAAACTGAGCAAATATTTTTTATCTCTAAAGAGATGAAAAAAATTATAAATTAGGTAACTATCTTATAGATATAAAGTATTTAAAACAAATTTTATCTTTAAAGAAAAAATATTCTAAGAGTCGTATAAAATTTGAGACATTTCCATCAAGTTCAACCAATTTTTGGATCTTAGGAGTTGAGTTGAAGTGTTATTTTTTATAAGAAAAAAGTTTACTTTCGAGTATAACTTTTTATATTTGACTTGCAATTATGAAATTTTAATCACCAAGTACAAAATTATATATGGCTTAAAAAAATATAAATATTATGTGTTTTGAGTAAATATAAAACGAAAAAATTGCTATTAATACAAAAAATAAGTTAAAATCTCGAAAATTCTCAAAAATAATGTCTTTTTATAATTACACCAATGAATTATGGTATTTCAGGTAAAATAACTTATTTAAAGAATAATTATTTAAGTGATACTCACTCTATTATCTGAAATTACCAAACTCATTAAATATTGAATATACTATTATTAACAATACCAGTATCTACAGCAATTATTTAACGTTCCTTTTCTGTACTAAAGGCTGATTTACACGATGCCAGTTGTTGGCATGCCAGCTGGTATGCTAGCTGGAAGGTCACTGGCGTCTGTCAACTGGAATTGGCAACCGACTGGCGCCTATCGTTTACACGATGCTGGTTACTGGCAGACACTAGTAGCTAGTGGTAGTGTATTATCAATTCAAGTACTGAGTTGTAGTGTACACGTTATCACGTCTTGTATAAAATATAAACATCGTCTTATAATATTTTAATATAGTTATGGCGGAAATAACATACAGCGATACATTTAAAAAAGCAGTGTGTTCTATTACTACACTATTGTGTGACGAGCTGTTGGAGATATGTGAAGAAGAATCGAAGAAGAGAAAAAGAAAAGTTTGGGTTAGAAATTGGATGGATAAAAAGAAATATGGAGCATCAGAAACAATTATAAGAGAACTTAGAGACAATGATCCACTTGAATTTAAGTCTGTTATAAGGCTAACACCCGAACAGTTTGAAGAGTTGTTGCTTAAGATAAGTCCAATCATAAGCCGTACTGACACTTTTATGCGCCCAGCTTTATCTGCCAGGCTAAAGTTAGAATTAACCCTAGCATTCTTGGCCTCAGGAACAAACTCTAGAATACTGTCAGTAATGTTCCGCGTTTCCAAAGCATCAATTTCAAATATGATACCTGAAGTATGTGATGCTATCTATTCAGTTATGAACGATTACATAAAAGTAAGTATTTATTTACAAAAAAAAATAATATACTTTTATTATTACTTTTATTTTATTATTAATCTTCATAATTATTACACATTCATAATTTATTAAACTTAATAAAAAAACGATTACATTCATAATTTATTAAACATCATAAAAAAACGATTACATTCATAATTTATTAAACATCATAAAAAAACAATTACATAAAAGTAAGTATTAATTTCCAAAAAAAAAAAAAAACCAAAATACTATTAATAAAAATCACTATTGATATCAGAGCTCACCAAAGCTGCATGTATGATATCTGCCGTACTATTTTCTTCACTGGTTTGGGTTTGTGGTGTATATGGGTGCAATTGAAGATTAGAAGCAACACTACTAGGGCGGCTACTACTTTCTTCACTGGTTTGGGTTTGTGGTGTATATGGGTTCAATTGAAAATTAGAAGCAACACTGCTAGGACGGCTATATGAAGTCGATGGTGACACCTCTCTCATATTTTTCAACCGATAGTTCAACAGAACTTTTTGTAATTCAAAGTTTGCCAATACCCTATCGTAAGGGGGTAACTCCCGTAGTTGTATAGCAATATGTTTTCCCATGACATCACACTCATCATCCTGAATAGATGTTTTTGGACTATTAATTGTTTCGTTTAGATTCTTTAACTCGTGGACGGCATTGGTTATGACGTCTAATCTTCTTTTTTGACCTTTATTTACTTTTAATTTTTTATCACTTCCGGGGGTACTTACTAACTGTTCTCTTGCATTAGTCAAATCGTCAACAGGAACAGCTTCATCATCTTGTTCATGAATAGTGTCTTGGGTCAAAGTGTCTTGGGTCAAAGTGTCTTGAGTTATGGTTCCCTAAAAAGTTAAATATTTCAGACTGTTACAAATTATTACAATTTCTACTGTTTTTCAGGTGCCAAATTTAAAGGAATGGGAAGAAATCCAATTTGGATTTAATGAAAAGTGGAACTTCCCTGGATGTTGCGGAGCCATAGACGGAAAACATGTAGTAATTAAAGCACCCCCAAGTTCAGGGAGTGAATACTATAACTACAAAGGTACAAACAGTATTGTACTTCTTGGTGTAGTCGACCACAACTATTGCTTCAGATACATTGATGTCGGATCTTATGGGCGAAATGCTGATGGTGGTGTTTTTCAGTACTGTGATTTATATCCTTTACTAGAAAATGATTCGTTACTACCAAAAGGAGGAGTACTGGTGGGGGATGATGCCTTCCCCTTAAAAACCTACCTTATGAAACCCTATTCAAAGGTAAATCTGACTAAAGAAGAAAAAATATATAACTACAGAACCAGTAGAGCACGAAGAATTGTAGAAAACGGTTTTGGTATATTGGCCAGCCGGTTTCGTATTTTTCAACAACCAATGGCAGTAAAAGTTCCAACAACTATAAAAATAGTAAAAGCTGCATGTGCCATACATAACTGGTTACGCTTAACTTCACCTACCACTTACACACCACCAAATAGTTATGACTACGAAGACATTGTCAATGCTACAATAATACAAGGGGAGTGGAGATCTGAATTGTCTCAGCTGCCAAGTATTTTACGGACACGAATTAACAATAGACCGAAAAAAATCGCACAACAAGTGAGAGACAGATATAAGGATTATTTTAATGGAGAGTGGTCAGTGGAATGGCAAGACAGAATGATTTAGTAATTAATTATCAATCACTTTTTTTTATATAAATATACNTATAGTTAAAATGATATTTGATTATATTTAATGAAATATTTATCTGTAAATGTAGCTATTTTTAAATGTTTTGATATAACAGTTCATTGTGCCCGTTCCTAAAATTTGCAGTACACCAAGAATAACTTTTTTAGAAAAATTTTCCTCGTTCCCCGTAAATGGTGGAAACTTCCAAAACATTACGAATATAAAAATCGCTAATTTTCGAAATTTTTAAAAAATTTTTTACTAAAAACTGCCATAACTTTTTCAAAAATAAACATATCTATATAATTTTTTTTTTTTATAGTTGTTTGATGTCTTTACCTATCATTTGGTATATCTTTCATTCGACATACTTTTTTTTAAAATCAGACTATTTCCTTATATACGGGGGGGTTCAAATCTGAAAAATGAACACTGATTCTGATATAATATTTTTTCTGAAAAACACTTATCGTGCCCGGCGTAGCCGGGTACCCCTACCGCAATCAGTTGCCTACTTATGATGACAGCTCGTAGGGCTCCGGGTCTGGGTACCAGATAGACGAAGCCTAGTGTAACATATAATATTTCTCGGTAAAATATAGTGCTATGTGCAAATACAAAATAGTGTACTAATAAAAATACATATTACACCATATAATTGAAGTTCAGAATAAACGTATGAGGAGAAATGAGTTAATGCGCATATTAAAACCATGCGCGTGAACATAAAAAAAAAAAAAAAATGCTCGTAAAACGGTGAAAAATGAACGGATTGAATTGATTTTTTTATCATATCTCAGGAATGTCATTGGGCGGGTCTGATGAAAATTTCAAACCTTAAGTCGTAAAACGCTGGCGTCAGCGAGCGTTTTTCTCGAAAACGGTCGAAATTTTAAAACGCTCGCGGGCGAGCGGCAAAAATTTTCCGACCTTTGCCAATAATTTTCCCGGAGTCTGGTGACCGAGTACTTTCGTTGAAAAAAAATTTTTTGAAAATCCGAGCACGCTAAGTAATTTTCCCAGAAAAGCGTTTTTTTCCTTGTTCTATTATATAATAAGATATTGACATTGATATTAATTATCAATTTCCTTTTTTTTCAATAAACGAATGAATAATACCTGATTAATAAATTATTTTACTTACATAATTACTGTACGTCTCCTTTTCTTTGACGGTTGCTGTTTTCATAATATGATCCATATCATCGAACCACGGCAATAAAGGCTTGTACACAAGATTAGTGCCGGAACCACTAGATTTACTTTTTCCTATTTTAGCCAACTCTAAATAATATGTTGAACGCAGAGCCTTAATTTTTTTGGCTACCTCTTTAATTGTTAAATTTAATTCGGACGCGATAGCTTCCATAGATGAACTCCTTGCATTACGATTACGGTACTCCGGGATAAACATGTTCCACAGATTTTCGTGCTCGCGGTATAATTGCACGAATTTACAAGTGGTTTCCTCATTCCAGCGGTTAGCCATTTCGATTTTTCGATCTCAGTTTTAACTTTTACACACGTGTCGATGTACTGTTATCATTGATAGTTAAAAATATTATATCACTGTTATAATCCAGTAGTTGACGAGTGACTGTTGCTGTTTACACGATGCCAGTTAGCTGTTGTCGTTGTGGTGATGTAGTGGAGGGGGGAAGCTGTCGCGCCAGCAAAACAAAATAATTTGTTTTACTGGCAATGTCATCTGCTGGCACGCCAGTGACCACTGGCTTTCTCCAGTTGCTGGCAGATTATGTTTAGACGTTGCCAGCCGCTGGCATTCAGTAACTGGCGACTTCGACTGGTACGTCGACTGGCATCGTGTAAATCAGCCTTAAGAAGACTTAAGACTTCTTTTAAACCAACCATCACCAAAATATCCTATTTGTTTTCAACATTAATTTTCTATTTTCAAGGCTGAATTTTTAACTATTTTATGTTTTTTTATAAATACATAGTATTTTAATTATTGCTTATTTGTTTTAAGAATTTTTATACAAAAAAACATTTTAATTAAATTTTTACAAAAGATTAAATTTGTTTTTTTTCAGAACTTCATTTATATATTTCTAACTTTTAAGTTTTAATTTAGTCAGTTATTTACTACAATTTTTTTTATTGAATGTACTATAAATAAACTTAATATTTTTCAATATTAATGATAGGGTAATTTTTATTAATTTATTGTAATAATTAATGAAACATTTTAATTAATCTAAAAACTATATTTTAGATTATTATCAATACTTATTAGTTTATGAACTTTTAATTTTATTTAACATGAACATTTTTTACATTATGCATTATTTTAATAACAAAATTTGAAGGCCAACGAATTTTTTAATATATTTTGTTTCAGAAACTGTAAGTGATGTTCTTTAACCCATATCATATTTGAATCGATTTATATATTTTTTTTTTGTACCGTTTTATGATCTTGAACATGCATGGTTCACAATTTCAATGAAAAATAAATTTCAATTAAAATTCAATATTCATTAACTTAAAAATGAAATTGAAATACTATTATTACGATATGAGTATTATATATATATATTAATAATATGAGTAACACAGTGCTAATTCCACAGTGATAGCTTATTTGGATGCGAAGTTATAGGTTCTTAAACAAAGGGGTTTTTAACAAGCTTATATTAGTTTCACTTGTATGTTGTGTGTTGTGTGTTTGTTTGTAAATCTCCACCAGCCACGTGTTGTTACACTACCGTACCCCGTCGTCTATGGCCTTGAGACTAGACGTCGTAACGCATTCACCCCACTCTGCTAACCACACACCGAAAACACTAATTCTGTATAATTTTATATTTTTGGTTTTCGTACCCGTACACACGTGCCTGTCATTAATTATATATATATATATAAACAAATTTTTATTTTGACTGACCAATGCCGCCCGCGACTAATGCGCCTTACGTATGTATATTTATATATTCCTACCGCCGCTGACACCGGTTATACCTTAAGCCGGATTCCCACGACTGGCGTACTTACCAAATATTTGTCACTTGTGTATACTTGTCAAGTCGTCGGAACACTATACTTGTACAATTATTGGTCACTTGTCAGTTTACCGCGGATTGTCGGTAAATGTAACACAAGTCAAAGGAATTAATGGCTTGACAAGTTTACACTTGTAGTTCACTAGTGCACACTTGTGTACTTGTCAAATACTTATCCAATATTTGATTTTAGGGTGGCTATCGGTAACACAATTTTTTCTTCCCACTCACCTATATTTGTGCAGTACAGCGGTGGTTTATGTTGGCCTAATTAGTTGATTTAATTTAATAGATAAGTAAAACTATTTTATAGTATAATTGTAAATATAATTTAATAGTTAAGGTTGATTACATAATGTATTAATTATATAACTTATTAATTTATGAATATTAAATATAAAATAAATATTATTGGATAGTTTAATATTTTACTAAAATGTTTATAATTGTAAAATTCTGTTTCATTTTTGCAAGTAAAAAATTATATACGGTGCGTAGCTGAAACACTATTAGTTTTACTCTGTCGTATTTTTTTTCTTTAATTTTTAGGGAAACTAACCTCCTCAAATTTGCTTTAATTGCTATTGTTGTTGGATACCGAAAACAAGATTAATACAATTTAGTACTGAGAAATATTTTATAGTAATAGCATTTTCTATTTTATAAAGTTATATTAGAACTATGTGTGTGAAAATAGTTTTATTTCAAATTTCGATGGCTATAATTAAATAAAAATGAATTAATCGGCCAATTTTTTGTTTTTGCAACCAACACTGCTCATAGAAATTAAGTAAACTGATAACTCTTGACGTTTATATCAGTAAGTATCACCTGTGAGTAATCATAATAAGAATGCAAGCGAAAAATGAATATAGGTAGTAAATAAATAAAAGGCTTTACTAGAAATGCCAAATTATTAAAAAAAGTAGATAAGTGTATTAATGATATAAATTGAATGCATTTCGCTATCAAAACTCTATTTTGAAATGGTGGCTGTTCAATAGTTTGGTGAAGTTAAGTAAAACCTTCATCTAATTCTACGGTAACATAGTTTTACATTTTTTTTTTTTTGTATTTTTTTTTCAATTAATTGTTTGTACTTTAAGTACTCTCCACGCATAATTATGTATGAAGCATAAATAGCCATTTTATCATTATCACTAACCATTTTAATTAACTTAAGTTTAATTAGATAAATAAAAACTAAAAATTATAGATAAAAGTTAAAGAACTATTTTAATTAAAAAAAAAATAATTTAAAAGTATAAAAACTAGCAATACTAAAAAATGTATTTTAAATCACTCACTGAAACGTCCAAACACTGCAGCGCAAAAAAAGCAAATGATACACGACTTAATATTTTTCAGGTCCCACCCCCAATACAATTATTTGACATTTGATCCAGTCGTAGGAATAGTATACTTGGCTTTTATTTATTACTTGTACAAGTGTACAAGTACTGGTATACTTGTCAAGAATACCAGTCATGGGAACGCTCCACTTGTTAATAGTTGGATGATTTGGCAAGTATACAATTATTGGTGTACTTGGCAAGTACACCAGTCGTGGGAATCCGGCTTTAGGTATAATGTTCCCCCCCTCCACAAAACAAGGCTGTACCTANGTTCCCCCCCTCCACAAAACAAGGCTGTACCTAGTGCATGATACGTTTACGTACTTAAGTCGCTTTACATGTATATATATATTCTAATTACTATTAAAAATATATATTAACACGCTTTATTCTCATTAAGAGATAGAGAGTGTATTCATTTCGATTACATAGGATGATTCCCTTATCGTCATTTTTCGTCACTACCACCATGTTCCGGGAGTGGGTAATTTACGCGCCTGCTGCTTTCCTTGGACGTGGTAGCCGTTTCTCAGACTCCTTCCCCGAAATCGAACCCTGATTTCCCGTTACCCGTTACAATCATGATATTGATAGTAACTACTATAATAACATAAAACTAAAAAGTAAAAAATAAATATAGTTTAAAAAAACTAAAAAAACACGCTTTTAAAGCACATCGAACTAAAAAGTTAAAAATAATTTTTAAAATAAGCTTAAAACAATAATAAACAAAAAATACTAGTATTATTGTGATAAAAGCTTGGGTGCATTGTGCCATATTTTTCGTATATTAAGCGCCCGACGCTTTTATTACAATAATACTAGTATTTTACGTTCATTATTGTTTTAGCTTATTTTAAAAATTATTTTTAACTTTTTAGTTCGATGTGCTTTAAAAGCGTGTTTTTTTAAACTATATTTATAAATTATAAAAACTGCGCTCTCTGATCAAAAAAAATGACCTACAAGAAATCTATGATGAAAATTCCTAACATTTCTGAACTATAGCCGCACACATATTATATAATTTCACATTATTATAAATAATATGCATTTTTAAGACTAAAATTTTATATCACCTGAATTTTTTTTAAGTGATCACTAAAAGCCACTAAAAATAGCTTTGTCTTTTTTATATTTGTAACAATCAAAGAGACCGATTTTTAGTCATTATATTTATGACCCCCCTTATGTAAAAAGTAGTTCCGACACTACCATTACTACCAGACTCACATATGTATAAAAATCAATACATGTATAATGTACATGTAATATTATAAAACATGTGGCATGTATGAAATATTATAATATATTTTTATAATTAAAAAAAAATAACATAAGATTTAAAAAGCATGTTTTTTTTGTTGATTTAATTCTATAGTTCATTAGCAGTAGTATTAAATAATTACATTTACCTAGTGAACAATATTTTCATTTTTCTAATATTTAAACATCTATTTTTGATTTACCTTTAAAAAAGATAGCAATTTATAATTTAATATTTGCTCTAAAAAAATTAACAGAAACGGGCCATTACCATAATGCCTTCAATTATTTAGATTAGTCATAAAACACTTTTAGGTGTAATATAATTTAGAATCAATGTGTTTAATCGTATATTAATAAATCATTAGTAAGTAAAACATTTAGTAGGTTATACTTCATCAAAATCTATAATTTATAATATGTATAATATAAAATAAAATACAAGTATTATAGTCTCAATTTGTAAAATACACTTTTTAATAAAAATATGTAATAAATGTTATATTTTTAAATGTAGTACTTTTTGCTTATCATTAAGATTATTTTAACTAAATTAATGTCCATAATATATACAAAAATAAAATTGATTCACAGTCATGTTTTAAGTTCCACTTTACCAAAACCATAACAGCGACTTTGTCTCAATGAAATCTCTTAATTTATCTTTACAAAAAATAAATATTATAACATGCTATATAATATTTTATATATAATTTAATTAATATCAAGTTATATTAATGATTACATGTTTAATTTGCATAAGAAAATTGATGAGTAATACATAAAACAGGAATATCACCAGTTATTGACACATCAATAAAATTTTGAAAATTCGATAAAACATAAATAATCGTTTAAAGGATTAAATTTCTTTTTTGTTTTCAAATTAACTCAAGTTTAAGAAAATTAATGATTCTTTAAAATTGACAACTGGTGCCGTTACTCTACACAGTGTCTAAAGCATTTATATATAACAAAAACCCTGTCCTTTCAAAAAAATTCATTTCTCATATAAATAAAAAAAAAGATAACATGTTTTATAAAATATTTCTTCTGAAATGAATATAATAATAAATGAATTTTTTAAGCAAATTGCAACCATTTAGTTTTAATATTTACAAAAAAATATGTATAATAATAAATAAAATAAGATTAGTAAAGTAGTTTGGTGTCCCTTGATATTGTACCTTACAATGAGAATAGCTTAACCATAATTTTATTAAAAACACAACACATTTTTTTAATAATACTAAACTGCATTTATTAAATAGCTAAAAGAATCATTATTAACAATGACTAAATGATTAAAAATATGAAATGAAGCTATAAACCATAAGCTAATAGTTCATTTTTTTAATTGCAAAATACATTTTTAATTTTTAAGTTAGAAATAATACTTTTCCAATTTTAAGTATGAAAATGGTTCAAAAATTGTTTAATAATTTTTAAGGTAGATATTAATTTATTTTCAAGCATAGATAAAATTTTAACTAGTTTAGTTAAAAAATTTACTTTTATTAATAATTTTCTTTAAGCTTACTTAAAAATTTAAATCTGGCATAAAAATGATCACTTATTAAAGGACGATGAGGCATAATTATAAATGCATTTTTTTATAATAAATGCACATGCTATTATTTTGAGCTTACATTTTGTATTATAGAAACTCATATAAGAACCAAAACTTTTAATCTAAAATAAAATCTATTCTAAGAGAATATTAATTACTACCTCCACATTCATTTGCATTTAGCCTACTTCATCATAACTTATATCAAGTTTTTTAATAGTTAATAAAATCATGAATGTAATGAAATTATATTTATTTATTGTTAATAATATTATAGAAATAAAAATTGTGTTAAAATATTGAAATCTAACTCATGAAAAAAATGTAAAATCAAATTATTAGTGTTATAAAATTTAAAATGGATTATCATTTATTTTTTGAGAAAAGGAGCTTTAAATATATATATTATTTATGTAATAAAAATATTTTATATTAGTTTATATTTTCAAACTTATATTGAAAGTGTATTTAGTAAATAAATTGTAAATATTATTTTATAAAATTAATGTATAAAATATATTGTTAGTTAAATTAATGTTTGCAATATAATATCGCATTATTAATCCATTAAAATTTAAAATCAATAAAAATTGAATCCAATACTCCTAAACAAGTTCACAAATTTCTATAATTTTTCAAAATTTTACAAAAACATGAAAAATTACCACTTTTTAATGATTTTATAAAATTACTCACACAAAAATAAAAAAATTACTTTTGTTACAGTTATATATTTATGATAAAAACAAGACTGTATCATATAGAGAGGGAAGAGCACAAATTAATTTTTAAATACTTTTCATATTTTAGAATTATTAGAAGTATTTTTATAATTAAAATAAATTAATTACCGTGTACAATTTATTTATGAATTTAAATATACTAGAAAATTATAATTATTAATAAGAATAAAAAGGTTTTAAAATCTCTTTTTTTTTATGGAGTTAATAAAATAAATAGATTAAGTTTATAAAAAAAACAATATGAATACATATTATAATAGAATACATTATAGATGTAAAAAATAATACAAAAAAATCGAAGGTTCAGTATAAATCTTAATAATTTTTTTCACTACCACTTTTATACAAAAATTTTTTCGTGATTTCATAAAAAATGAAAACTGTTTTATACAATTTAAAGGTTTTCATGATATGAATGAGTTATGTCAATAAATCAAATAAATATAACAAAGTGTCAGACTTTTCATAAGGTAACTAAATGTTTTTTTCATCAATTATTTTGTACACAAAATAAGTTTCGAAATCATTACCAATTGTTGGTGAGTCTATAAACATCTCATTTTTTAAAATTTGTTTCATCATTACTAGTCACTTTGAGGGTCGCAGGAGGAAGCGGGTAAGGTTTTTTGAAAATTTGTGGTTTTGCTTTAATAGGAGGCTTGGTCATTTTGGGAGGTAATTCAGGTTTACTTTTGCTGGATTGTGGTAAAGGCTTATTATATTTTTTCAACGTACATTGATTTTGTTTAGCAAAACGCTCAGCAGTTGTTCCCATGTCTGGGCTGTCTGGATCACTTACTATATTGCAACTTTTGACACTATTGACATCTGATCCAATAGATTCTGTAATTGATGCATCTATTTTTCTTATGGGCAAATCCATAACTAAATCTGGAGCTCCACCACTCACTTTTACAATGGTTTGTTGCGGCTGAGTCAGTTGTTGTTTAGTTATTTTACGGTATTCCATTGATCCTTGAGAATCTGCTCGTCTACGCCATAGTTGTATTTTATGATCAAAAGAGTCATCACCCATACTTAAACTCTTAGCATGCTTCTTTCGTGACCTTCCAGTACCATCTGCGGACTTTGATCTAACTTGATGATGTTCGCGCACTACTGACGATACAGCTGTATGTTTTTTGTATAAATTGATATTATCTTCTCTTGCTGGAATAAGAATTAATTCTGAGATTTCTTCAGTGTGAGACTGATCTTCTAAAACTGATCCTTTCCCAGAATCTAAACTATCCATACTACCAATAATCTGAAAAAATATATGAAGATTTATATACAAAAGACAATGAAGCATTTAGCTTGCTTAATATTAAGACACGAGATATCGATCAAAGTTAAATAAAGCATCAAACAAAAACAATATGATCATAAATTTTAAAAAAGAAAAATATTTAACTTTAATACCATAACCATAGAAAATTGAAATTTATTATGCAATCTTTAAGAGCATGTTAACCCAACAATTCGGAGAAATTTGTTAAATTTATAAAGATTTTATAGTTTTATGGATTTGTTGTATTATGTTAAAACAGAAAACTAGTGGACCATTTGGGGTTACTCTGTCTTAATAGGTTAATAAAATGTTAAATAATAAGTAATTTTCTCAACAGAAATAAGTAATCATCTTTTACAAATTATTTTATAGATTGTTATACTTTTTTTTTAAATTTATCATATCTTGCATTAATGGATAATACAAAACATCAAACCCTAATAACATTATTCTTAATTGTTAAAAATGTAATATTTAGATATAAAAATGGAAAATTGTTTACAAGCATAGATATACATAGTATTGTAAAAAGAAGAACATAATTAATTTGATACTGTAATAAGTATACAAAAACATTTAATACACATTAATAGAGGTTAATTTAGAAAAATAATAATATAACATATTTAAATAATTCATAAGAAAATTGATTACCAAAATTATGTTACACAGTTAAAAAAAGTTATTTCAATTACAACATTAATATTTAAATTACTTTTTTTTAATGGTTAATAAAGCTTTTAGAAGAAAATTTTAAATACGCAGAAACAGGCAAATTTGTAGGCAAACTAAAGAAATTGCTTATATACTTACAACGAACATCAGTAATATCATGTAGATCATACAAGCTTTAGTATAGAATAATCAAGTTCTTTTTACTCATATATAATTGCTTAACTATATTAAATATAGTTGATATTTCTGTATTAAAACTTTAGAGTAAATTATTCTAGTGAATATGTTTCTACTTTCTAATGACTGTCAACATTAAATCAAGCATATACACTTAACTAAATTTATATAGATTTATAAATTAAATAATAAAACAAATTTTATATTAATAGTTTTAAAATATATTTAACTGTACACAATTTATGATGAGTATTATTTGCCTTTTAAATCCTGTCCATTTCTTGTTATAATTAATTTATAAAAGTAACCATTTGATGAACTAAATAAAAATAAATACAATAAGAATAACTATAATGATAGTTATACAAACACCTAAACTTTTAATAAGTAATTCTTTACCATATCAAGAAGTAAACATTTGAAATAATTTATCCCAAGACTAAAAAATTGCAATTATTAATAATAAGCCATAGGTAGCTTAAAAATCAAAAAATTTAGTTATCATTAATGAACTTAATAGGATTGTGCTTTCATTAACAAGACAATATGTGTTCTCAAAATTTTATAAAAATCTATTATGATGTTATATTTTTCACATATAAAACACATCATGCTGCTGAGATTACAATAATTGTAGTTGTTGAAAACATAAACAAAACATTTGAAAAATATACACAATACAAAACATGGATATAATAATAATTCATAACATGCTTATAAAAACAAAACTGTATGCTTCTGAAAGTTACAATAAAATATTCTTAATAAATTAATTACTATCGTTATACATATTATTAAGGTTGCAAATAGTCATAATTTGATAAAATATAAAATAATCTGTCAATAAAAATCATATCTTAAATGAGTACTTCAAATCATAAGTAAAAATTAAAGTAAAAAAACATTACAAATAAGTTGTCAGATGCCATAATAGTATGTGTTTTATAATTTTATAAGATTTTAATGTATAATATATTATTCCTTTCTTTTTCATTTTCAATAAAAAATATTTATACAAAGCGGACTAGCAAAAATAAATATGTAAAAATTCATGATTTGAGACAACCTTTAAGGTTATCAAAAGAAAGGCAAAGCTCAAAATTTGCAATTATGCTTATAAAACTAATTTAAAATATATATAAAAAAACATACTATATTTTCAATACATGCCTTAAATAAACCAATCAAATAAAATATTGTGGTCATGCTAAAAAGTAAAAATATTATTTTGAGTTCTCAATATTCAACCGAACTTAACTATACTAGAATAAAAAATTGTTGCCATACTATTCGCATACGAAACTAAAGTTATTATAAATAATCATCAAAAAAGACAAATAGTTCTATGCTACTCAAAAATTACACAGGATGCTGAAGAATTTTCATAAAACATAAAAAATTAATAGTTAAAAATCCACTTCAAACTACTTAAGAAAAATAAAAGTAATTTCAAAGGGAAAAACTCAGACGGTCGTCTCAAGTACCTCGTGAGCTGTTGTGTTGTTCATGGAGTGATGAGTATGCAGTGGAGGTGGTGGCGATGTAGACGACGAGGTGGTACACGAAGATGCTGCCGATGTCACCATGATCGAACAGCAGTTGTTGCCATCATACTTTTCAGCCTGGTTAGGTCCGTTAGGCGGCCAAGGTACTTCTCCTAAAGGCGGAGAAGAGTACCCAGAAGCAGCAGATTCGGATATCACAGAATCATTGGAACTAGAAGTTCGCCGACGTGTTGAGTCGTCTGAGGAAGTGATCGATTTTGAACAAAGTTCCGTTATGGGTTTCTCTTTCTCTTCATCTCTATTCAATATAGAAAAATCGAACATTTTATAAATCGCCAAATGATAGTTAAACAAGCAAATTTAATTTTAATTTTTTTTTAAATTACATTTTAACAAGATATTTACTATTATTGTTATGATTTAATTACACAAGATAATATGGTATGATAAAAAACCAAATGAATTTATCTCTACAATTGGTTTTTTTTTTACATATACCAATATATATTACATATATTCAATATTTTTCGATGTGTTCATTATATAACACCATGATATAAAATGATTTCTTAGAAAAATATGGAAGACATTCCTTATTTCCATGACACTCTGGACATTTCGTGTTTGTGTTGGTTTGAATCTTATCACAGATAATACAAATATATTTGTCTACACCCAACCCCCACTGAAAATAATTTGACACATTTGTTCCGAAATAATAGTCGCATTTTATGAACATTATTGATGTTTTATTATAATATTAATGATGGGTACTATCAAGTATCGGTAGTTTTGCTACTGGTATATCAGATAATTTTTGAAAAGCTGTCAAATAATCATTACATTGTTATTATCCATCCACGAATGTCTAGTTTTAGACTATCAAATTACCAGATGAAATACTAAAAAATTCGAAATCAAAAGTATTCATGCAAATTTTTATTAAAATAAAATATTCGTTGTTCATTTAGTTTATGGTGACAACGACAGTTAGTAATTCGATGGTCGGAGTAGTCCGGTGTATATAACTCTCGACAGGTAAATACTATTAAAAAAAATTTGTGTCTATCGATAGTTTTTGAAAACAATCGGATAAATCGAATAGTATTCGCTCTGTGATACTACATAACATTCACTTTTGATGAATTACGAAGTGCACTTCCAATTGTAAATTATTGTTCGAGTTTGATTTGCATAACCATAAGGGCACTAATGGTATGGTTATTTCGAGATTTATTAAAAATATTGAGTTTACTTGATATGTTGGTTTACTGAATCAATCAATTAACTCGGTAGTTCAAAACTGTTATTTAAAAGTATACAATGCAAGTAAAAAGTTTATTTACCTTATTTTGAGAAGTATATATTTGTCAGGTATAAGACCTTCACGGCCATTAATACAGCCTCGCCACCAGTCTCCTGACACCTGAGTATGCAAAGCTATTGTTTCGCCTTTCTTGAAACTTAACTCTCGTTCGGATCGAGCAGCAAAATCGTACTGAGCAGTGGCTTCTAAACTTTCACACTCTAAAAAGAATTTTAAAAAGTTGAAAACATTACACAATAAATATTTACTATACTTCTAATGTTATAAAAATTAAACTACGAACAATGCTAAATCAAAAATTAAATTGTAGTTCAAGAATTTTTTCATCGATTACTCATGTGAAAAATAACGAGATAATTATTTACTAGTCACATATTAAAACTTTGTTTCACTAAGCTAATTCGTACTTCTAATACATAATCATAATAACGAAGATACACTATGGTCACGCATCGCTAGTAATTATATAAACGCTATAGTCATTTAAAAGACGTTTGATTATTTGTTTAATGTATTCTAAACAAAATTCAAAATCGCAATATTTATAATAATGACAAGAGACAAACGAGAATGAAAACTTACCGTCTTCTGACGGGTAAACCTCTGAATCAATGTCTTCTTGAGCGTGATCCGATGGCGAATCTCCTACATCCGCATCATCTGGTTCTCTAGATATATATTTTTCATATACCAATCCACCTATCTCTGTTGATGACGGGAAAATGTCTTCGTGGAAAAGTATTATATTTTTTATGAGATCATTAACGAGGTTTTGATATTGCACTTGATCTTTTTCCTCGGGAACTGGCACCAGCGTAGGGCCGAAACAAATAGCCAAGTTATAAACGTCCATCATGTTCTCATCGCTAAATTCTGATAAACTAAGTACCGAAAAAAAAAATTTTATTTCAATTATCCGAAATTGATGAACAAATTCTTACTGATTGAGAAAAGCAAATAAATATCTTAACATGACGACTACTTGACTTGAAAAACTTTGAACTAACTCTTTAATTTTCATTACGAATTGATGCCTTGATTCTAATTCTAGAAATTTTTAAAATTTAAAGTTAACATAGAGTTAAATATCATAAGGTTTTATTTAATTCCCAATAACCACCATATTACCAATAAATATAATTTAGAAGTTATTTTTAACACTTACGGGCAAGTTCCATGAACTGGTCAAAGTATATAATTGGGAATAAGGGTTCTCGAAGTTCTCTTAGATAAAGTTTCAGTACGCCGGCAACAGAGTTAATATCTGAAGCATCAGTCATATCAGCAAGTGGGTCCTCTCCCCTCTCGAACGCCTCTTTAAAATTATTTATCTCTACTTGCGATCCGGATACTCTGAAAATCCCTTGATGGTGCAAACCTTTTGAAAAATGTTCATCAGATGTCACACATTCATTAACATCTCAACATTTGAATAATTAACAAATAAAAAACATACCAAACAAGTTAATAATTCGAATACAACTTTTCACTACCAACGGAATCTCTTGATTAGTAGCGTCCAAATACTCTTCAAGAGATCCGCCAAACAGTTTTGGCTGTCCATTCATTTGTAATCTTCCAATTCTTTTTCTGCGGACTATCGGTTTGTGAATCGGCCGTTGGGGCGTCTGTTTTGCAGGTGTCGACTCTGAATTGCCATTTTGAGGACGCTTGAAACATATGGTTGACAAGGTTTCATTGATATGCTGTTGTTTGGCGTCTAGACGGACGATTCGACTTGTTCTCATTAAATAATCACGTAACTTCTAAAGTAAACATATACAAGAACTCAAATGAAATTTACGCATGTTTCTTCGCAATAGATCAAACAAGAAAAAAACATTCGACAATTATTGATAGAATATTTTTTTAAAAAGGAAAACTCATTTAATAATAAGTCAGAATAAATCATGAAAAATAACTTCCAGTTCCAAAATAAATAGTAACCTTTTATAAATAAAAAAAATCCCGAAGGTTTAAATTTAAACTTACAGTTAAATAAAATTCTTCAGTCTCATGTTTGTCAGCTCTTAATTTAATCGTTATTGTTTCCGGTGGCTTGCTAGTGGGTATAGCCTTTTCACCGAAGTAACTACTGCAATCGTAGTCGTTTGCCGTGAGCATCTCTAACAGAGTCTTTTCGGCAGTTGCTAATGTCTTCCACACTTCATCCGACTCCGTATGCAAAGTTGTCACACGTTGATCTAATTGTTCTAGTCTAGTTTCCATATCGGCACAGAGCAATTTTTGCAACTCTGGCTCGGCATACTGACACAAATGAATTTTATTAAGTAAATAAATAAATTGATAATTTTTCATTTAATTTAACACATCAATCTGTAACTGTTTTCCAAAATTCAATTAATTAAATTTCCCAAGAAAGAAAAAACAAAATTTCAATTAAGATCAAAGCACATAAACATGGGGTTAATACCGCAAAAGTACGTATATCAGTTATTACAGTCTTCAGGATGTTAAAAAATAAATCTGAATTATACATGTTTCAATAGAAGAGGCGATTTTACTCGTAGTTTTACGAAAAAAAAAAATTATAACAAAAAATGTCTAGAAACACTAATTATATAATTATTGATACAAATCTCATTTGGTCGATTTTTGAGATACCAACTGTTGCAATATAATCGAAGATATATTTGTAGTGCAAAAAAACATAACTTATAAATAAAATCAATTTGAACATTTTCGGCAGTCGATAGTTAACATTTTTCTTAATTAATACTATCAAAAACCCCCAGACCTCGTTTTTTCACTTATCAACTTTTGGATAAAGGCTACAGATATTAATAAATTTTAAAATACGGTTGGTCTACCTCATCTCTCTGTCCCTGAAATTCAAATTTCTTAGGTATCATAAAAGCGGTATGGTTAGATTCTAAAAATCGTTGTTTGTCCACTCCCGAATCCATAGCCGAAACTATCAGATTGGATGCATCTAATCCCGTTTGCATGGAATGTATGCGACTTTCCTCGGCCGAGGTATACATTTTCATAGCGTTGGTGACACAATGGTGAAACCCGAAATCCATACAATCCATTAGGTCAGACAGGTCGTCAACAAAATACTTATGTACTGTGCTATTTGTTGCTTCGAGACATAAAATGTACTCGTTGCGAGCTTTTAACGCTTTTAGTTTAGCGTCGAAATATTTATTTTTCCGCTAAGAAATAAATAATAAGTTATCTAAACATCTTCAAGTCAACAGAAAGCATAAAATTTTAAATATTACCTTTTGCACTTCTTTACCGATAAGCCGAACTTTTTTAGATTTTTCAAGCTTTTCTTTAGGAACTGCTTGCTCAATTTTCAGTCTTTGGTTTTCGGCTACTTTGAGTTTGGCTTCTGCTTGTTTTGCTTCCGACTGGTAAGATTGATACGTTTTCATAGTAGTATGCAATTCGTGTAGGACGCGGAGTATCTCTTCGTGGATTTCGTAACAGATCTCTCGACACTAAATGTTTATTTTAAATTTGATAAATTACTCTATTTATTTATTGTGAACCATTGGCTGCGGCATTTTAAGTACTCACTCTTTTGTATATCCTCTGCACGTCTTCTGCTACTTGAGATAACCGGCTGACTAGATGTGTAGAATAAAGTTCGCTTAACGCCCCGTGATCTTTGCTGAGATTTTTTGTCTGCAAAACTAATTGCTGCCAACACGAGTAGCTAGTAAACAGTGACCACTGTTCTCTCCTGAAATGATTACACACAAGGTGAAAAATGTAAAACGCGCAGGTTTTCACTATATCCGAAACGAGTTAATTTACATTCCTTCCTGTCGACACACAGGATACACTTGGCATACATGTCTTGTGTTATCGACAAGTACAGTTACCAATACTAATTCTGGCGAAGGCGCGTTTTACATAATGCACGTCAACGCTGCAATATAATTTATACGTTTTGTTCTTACGGTTTTATTCGACTCGAATATAAGTTTTACAAGTGAATAACACACACACAATCAAGTTTTCAATAAAAAATAACAAATATTTCCAAATTAAAATTTCATGAATCGACAATTAACTTACTTTTGTTTTTGTTCTTTGTGGCGTAATTGCAAGCTTTTAGCCAGTTTGTCTAGGCTCTTGCTGTAGTCCATTTCAACTTCGGCCCGCCTCCTGAAGAAGTCTTGGAGCTCGGATACCAAGGACACTTGTGCTTCGACCCGGCTGTCCAAACATCTTAGGTGTTCGTTAAGCTGGAGGCGAATATCTACGGGAGGTAGAAATAAAATTAATTTCAAGATATTCATACATATCAAATTAACAAAGCAAAATACAATACACGTGCAACACTACAATACAGAATTGTACACGCTGCGCATAATATGTAAGAGAGCGTACATTTATTTAATTATTTGTTTTATTGTACGATGAACTTTCGGGTTAACATTGCGTGGTTCGTTCATCGGAAATCGGAATAAATAATTTTACAACGTGATCACGATAAGGAATAGGCAAACTTCTATTCAATAGTCAGGAAGATTTAAATTAAGATGGGAAACCGTGGGCATACATAATGAATTGACCTTTTGTTATTAAGGAATCCAGATAGCTAAACAGAGTAATAGAAACCAAGAATTTATCCAACATCATAAAATTATTCAATATCAAAGTCTACTTTTAAGAATAATTTCAGTAATATTTTTAGGCCAGACGCATGCACACTCAAATGTCCAACTGATGTATTCTTTTATACATCAATTGTTACACATTAAGCTAATATAATAAACATATTGTGTTATACTATTTTCTGGATCCAATAGATATGTACCTTATCTCGTTCACACCTATTATAACAACTGATGACCGAATGTCAAATGTAAACAATATTATTCAGAACGTTTTTCAATATACAAAATAAACCTACACGATTTATCTCGTCTATAAACAAAATAAATAATTTATAGATAACATTTTTTTTTTATTATTTCAATGGAAACATTAAATCACACGCACATCCTATATCGACAGCTGTACAAATGTGTGCCAAGCTAAATATGGCTGAGCGACGGTTTTCTTCGAGGTCACATAATATGTTCTCCCACCAAAAATTTATAAGAACATATTAAGTGGTTGCTTTGATGGTATTACGCCGCACAATAGTGTGTTTAGGCCCATCTTAAATAAACATTAGGGATCTAATGATTCTGAAAACCTTTTCCCCGACAGCATAACCTTTGACACGAACATGAAATTTGCTAAAAGAAATCAACATTTAAACGGGAATACTTTGGATAGTACACTCTGACATCTATTATCTCATTTAAAAAAAAGCATCGTTCAAACGATACGACTAGTCATTAAATCAAGAGTTAAAAAAATTGTTTCATAACTAGAGACGGCTATTAATAATAATGATAAAAAAAGAACTTGATTATTGTTTTTTCTTTAAATTTAGTTTCAGGCTAAAAATAACGCTTTTCGGTGTTGGCTTTTAAAAACGTTATCGTTCCACCGTCACAGGCAATACGCTGTGTATTAGTGTGGGCGTTGAAATATTGTACGACAAATGTTGGAGGAAACGAGTCAAGATGTCATGACTGGATTAAAATAATAAGAACGGTTGATTACAATACAAAAACGTTGGAAGATAAAAGAATCAGGGACACTCATAGAACCAGTATAAATCTCGTACGTGCGGCAGACTACTTGCGTACAGCTTTCAAATAAAACACGCTATGGATTTTTTACTTTTATTTTTTTTTATATATAATGACTTGCCGCTGCGCCGGACCGGATGAAAACGTAACGATGATAACTCGACAATAGTCGCCCTTCCACGCTGCGGATACCGTTCCGGCCAGGTGTTTTCTTTATAAGCCGATTTGTTTAAGGCTTCCAACGTTCGCTATTTCCCTTCACTTTGAATATAATACTTTTAAAGTGCAAACGTCCACTCTAAAATTACAGAGAACCAGTACTACAAGAATGTAGATCCAACGATCTGCACAAATTGTAGCTTTAGGCAAGATTCTGTTCCCAAGACACGCTAATGGCCAAATCAAGTCATTATCCCATCAAAATATTTGTTTGTAGAGAAAAAAAACATACTCTAGATGTGTACATGTGCATTACTGTGAAACAATAATGCATTATACTAAAAATACCATAAGACTTAATGGTACAAAAATGTAAACAATTAGATTTGGTTAATTAGATTCGGTGTTGGCGTAATTTTAAATATTACGTTATCACGAAAGGTCATAAAGCAAACACTATAAACTTTGAGCAGAGAAGCCGAGAAAAATAGACTTTAATTAGTTAATTTTTAATGAGTGACTTGAAAGCAGAATTTTTAATAACAGCTAATTTTTCTCAAACGTTTATATAACTATACTGCTGCTATAAGATAGATGGAAATTAAACATAAAACTGGTCTTTATGAATAAACATGAAAACGTTTGGTCTGACACTCGAATTTAGATTGAAAGCATACTCTAACAACGGAAGTACCTACTTGTGATAATTGACGATCGTATACTTATATATTTTTCTCTCATCACTTAAAAAATCACGGACAAGGTTATAAAAAGACATGTGGCTAGTTTCCTAAGTGATAAATTGAATTTTATCAGACGATAATGGTCGTATAAAAAATTTATTAATTATTTAACTTTTCAGACAATAATTTCCTTTTAAAAAGTATATAATTTTAATAAAACTTATGATTTACGCTACAAATGTTGATTTTGTACTATTGACGTCAACATTTTTACTGTACGAATAATTGTCAGAATTTTTATTAACTTCGAGATTATATTTAATAAATAAAAATTATGTTTAAAGGCTGGGTAGGAATGTTTTAATAACATAATATAATAAACTTAAAGTCAATAGAAAACCTATTTGTGTTTCTCCTAGACTTTATGCGTGACAATAGATTCTTCATTTCCTCTACAGCATATGTACACTTCTGCCAAAGAATTCCCAAATTCAAAACTTTTATACTCTCAAAAAATGACATTTTTCTGTATTTACTGTCACTATTCCGTGTACACACATCATATATTTTTCTGCAATGAAACCCTTCTTTTTTTAAACCCAACCAACAGTTTTTTTAAGCCATTTTTCTAATTGAGAAAATTTGAAGTACACTAAAAAAATATTAGGAAAATTTCATAGTGAATGACCAATAATCATATATGAGTTAATAAAGTAATCAATATTTAATTAGGATTAGTTAATTTAGTAATGAAAAATGTAAAACCGTATAGAAAATTGATTAAATTATCATTTAATTTGTTCATGTTATTTGCTGTTGTGCGACTTAATCAAGAAAGACGAAAAGAACGAATAGTTCTTATTTTGATATATGTATAGGAAACGCAAAGCTTGTCAAAGCTTCTCTCTAGAGTCTTCTATTCGTGTGACTTCTATTCCAGATAAGATTAATAAAACATGGCGAAAACTTGAACATCATCCTAATTCGAGGACAGTACGCGCGCCTACTGCCAAACATACATAATTTCATTCGCTATATACACTTAATCATAACGATACAATAAATTTTGGGTGTAGTTGTGATGGCGAAACAAAATTGACCTTGACTGAGCTCTCTCATTTCACCGCCTACAAACAGCACACGTGGTGTTCCGGACCGTTTTGTACGTCGGCGTATCCAACGGCGGGTAATTTAAAAATAAACCGACGACGGGGCTATGGCAAGGGGAGGAGTATTTCGGATGGGTTAAAATAATAGTACTTGTGCATAGAAGATCCGGCAAAGCGTTAAACGGTACGGCTGCCTAGGTCGTCAATGCTAGTGCACATTTCTAATACATTCCCGCCGACACTTTCGACTTGAACCGAGGCCATTAGTTCGCCGCAACCAGTTAATTTTAATAAATATAATTCATTGTTTACAAACAATTGACCATTCAACATGGCCGCAGATTTTATTACGTTGCGTCAAATCCAACGTGTGCCGTCACCGACTGTGCGTTTAGGACGGCAAAGTAAATTAAATCGTATACATTAGGCCCGTTGAAAAAATAAAAACAATAACACAAGACATAAAAATCAGGTTACACTAGTTGCAACAAAATAAGAAGTGTATATTTTTTTAACGCCACACTCGGTTGTGTAATGGGCTACTGATTCGCGAATTATTTGACCTACGTTACGGTATAATAAAGTAACACTATGGAACTGATTGATACACAAAGTAAACTATTACACGGTAGGTGCTATTATTATAAGTCATGTCGTCACAGCAAACGGCGTGTACATACGACGACGCGGAGGTACAGGCCAGTCTCGTCTTTGAACGACTTTAAGTAAACATCAAGACTATATTTAACCGTAACTGATGACTAAATGTGTGTCTCTGCGCGTGAGGTCGTCAACAGCGGAAGAGGAGAACACATCGAAAACAGACCAAAGGCTAGAAGTGTGCTAGCTCGACAGGCCGAGCTGCGTTTGCGTTGGTGTTGAAAAAACGGCCGTCAGACTTTAAAAAACATTTCTGCATAGGTGAAAGAACCCGCGAGTATAAATAGGTTTCGCGTTTAAGTGTTGATGGCTTTGCACTGTGAGGCACGTTCAATATAATTAATCGTCAATTCGTAAGAACCCTTCTTTGTAAGACCAGGGAGAAAAAACCATAGTCCGGGTGCAACACAACGTATGACGGGTTGGCGTACAGCTGAAGACCACAGACATTTATTTTTAACGAAAAATAGGGAGACAAAGAATAAACCATAAACGGAATCAATCAACTACACGCTCTAAGGGAAACCACCATCCGTTGTTATTCCGTCGCCATATGACTCACGGTGATGAAATCGCAAGTAAAATCGAGGGTCTTCTTTTGTAATTATTAAACTTGGAAGACATAGTAATATTATTATCAGCTGTCGTTAATGGCTATTAATAACATTCGCTAACAATTACTTTTATGTCATTTAAAAATACTTTTTTGAAATATAGACAGGGCGTGTCCAATAAAAATCTAAACTTTTCGTTAAAATACAACGTCTTTTGCTTTGTTAATATACAATTTTTTTCATAATTTATTTTACACGGAGTTGCTGCTATTTTTTAAGGGCACTGATTTATCTCTCTGTTGACTAAAAATAAAAGTTGACTGTTCACTGTGAAATGCTACACAGTTCTTCTTCTGATGTCGACTTGAATGTTTGAATGTCAGACGAATTTTTCTAAAAGAGAAGCAGACACACATGTTTTAAATCTGGTACGCTTTAAATCTTG